CTGCACACCGATCATTAGTCACACAGCAACTGCGAGACACAAGAGGGTGAACAACAAAAACTGCTTGACCCCAAGAACACACCGCAAAAAGTCCAAAATGAACAAAGAACAAAAACATTTATCTTATCATTATCCCTGTTGGAAGAGAGTCAAGTACCTACAATTTCTGTGACCCCTCCCTTTAAGCGTTCAGGTACAATACACCATCCTAAAGTGCCTTGTAAAGAAATCACTTGAAACAGCATTAAACTTCACTTCACCCGTCAGTTATAATGTTCGATACACGTAGAAATGATTCCATTCCAAGAACACTCCTTAAGAGCCACCTTCTCCCAGGGAAAGTTCAGCTTTCTATGCTAAAACGTAGCAGGTAGAAGTTTAATTCTTGCTAAAAAAAGATTTCTGCTGTTTTAGTGTAGGCTGATATATTTAGCTCTCCTTCTTTCTTCCTTGATGCATCCACAGGACGTCCAAGGAGCTATGGACAGATGTGGTGGCAACTCTGCCCTCTCTTCTTCTCGTCCTCCAAGAAGCAACTCTGGGTTGGAGAAAATACACCTCATCCTGTACAGTGAACCAGACACTTGAATGTGTGACCAACTGTGGTTTGCAACCATTGGCACTTGAGAGCCATGATTACGAAGAACAGTGAGAAATGTTTTCAGAAACACTTCACACACCCCAAAATTTAAACCTGGCTTTGTCAGCGGAGGTGTGAATTCCTACACAGGGCTGCAAAAGGAGAAAGCTGTTGGGTTCCTCCTTACAGATTTGTTACAGAATAAAGAGTGTGGGAAGGGACCTTGTCGGTCATCTAGTCCAACCCCTCCCGTCCAAGCAGGAGACCCTACACCGTTTCTGAGAGATGGCAGTCCAATCTCTTCTTGAAAGCTTCCAGGGATGAAGCTGCCACAACTTCCGAAGGCAACTTGCAGAAAAGGTGAAAAAAATAAAAATAAGAATCAGGACATCTATTTGTGGAAATGAACACCAGATACTTTTTGCCCATCTCCTGCCCCAAGGTAGCAGATTTTTCTCAGCACATCGGAAGATCTGAGAGACGTGTCTATCTATCCAACCTTTTTTTTTTTCTCGTTCCCTCTGGAAACCCAAAGAGAGACGGTCAAATTCTGGCCAGGGACAACAAGGCCCTGCAAAGTTCTCCTGAGGAAAATCTTAAGGACAAACCTCCATCCCAGAATAAATATCTAACAGATGAACAGAGTTGGAAGGGACCTTGTAGGTCATCTAGTCCAACCTCCCACCCAACGAGGAGGCCCTACACCATTTTTGACAAATAGCAGTCCAGTCTCTTCTTGAAAGTCTCAAGTGATGGCGCTTCCACAACTTCTGAAGGCAACTTCTGTTCCATGGGTTGGTTGTTCTCCCTGTCAGGAAATTCCTCCTTATTTCCAGGTTGAATCTCTCCTTGTTCAGTTTCCATCCATTATTCCTTGTCTGGCCTTCAGGTGCTTTAGAAAGTAGCTTGACCCCTTCTTACGCTACACTGATGTAGTGTTGTGAGACATGGTTGGGAAGTCAAAAGGAAATTGTTTCCTCAAGAGGATGATGTGGTACCTCAACCCATATCTCAAGACATAGATGTACTTCCTTCCCTGAGTGTTAGCCGTAGTAATTACAATTCATCAAGAAAAAAACATAGCAACTATAGGAAGTACCAGCTTTTAGATGTTCCCTCAAACTGATCTCTTCTCACCAGCCCACAAACGATTCCCTCTGTATGGTGAGCACAGGAGGGAAGGAATTTATCTTTCTTCTCCCAAAGACAGGTCAAGACCGAACAAAGAAAAGTTAGGCCAACTTGTTGACCTTCTATCTTGCAAAGTTCTTGGTTCATTATTCCAGTATTTCTCCTTGAAGACCTCCAAGGTGACCATTGAGAAGGTGATTATCTCACGGTCTGGGTAAACGCAGACTAAGAAGCCTAACCAGGTCATGCCTCCCCTAACTTTGAGGAAGAACAATCCTTCCCCAATTGCCAGCCAGCTAATGCATCGGCAAAAGTAGCTTGGCCAACTTTCTTTGAAACCCCGTCGATGGAAAATTGATGGCAAGGAAGCAAACTCAGCCAAACATCTTTGACTGGGGGAATCTTCCAGCCTTCCTTAGTGATGACCAAACCCTTCCAAAAGAGATCCATCTAGGGCTACAAATTTCAAGGCATCGAGACTTGTTGCAAATGTAGATGTGGGTCTGAGTCAGTCAGAATAGAGCTGGAAGGGACCTTGGAGGTCTTCTAGTCCAGCCCCCTGCTTCTGCGGCTTTGGAAAATATTTTTGAGTCTTCAGTTTTAGTCTTAGCGTTGACTTGACTCGCTCATCTGGACCCACAACTTCTGAAGGCAAGCTGTTCCGCTGGTTAACTGTGGAAACGCTTGTGGGTCTGAGTCAGTCAGAATAGAGCTAGAAGGGATCCTGGAGGTCTTCTAGTCCAACCCCCTGCTCAAGCAGGAGATCCTATACCATTTCAGACAAGGGGCTGTCCGGTCTCTTCTTAAAAACCTCCAGTGATGGAGTGACCACAACTTCTGGTGGCAAGCAGTTCCACTGGTTAATTGTCCTCCCTGTTAGGAAGTTTCTCCTCAATTCCAAGTTGCTTCTCTCCTTGATTAGTTTCCATCCATTGATTCTTGTTCTCTCTTCTGGTGCTTTGGAGGATAAGTTTGAGTCTCCGGTTTTAGACTTAGTTTTAGCATCACTTGACTCGCTCATCTGGACCACGCGAGGCGCAGATACCTTGCACTAGACTTACTCTGAGGATTAGTCATAATGCCAAAGGGGTTCCATTTCATTCCCTGTCACACCACACAAAATGTCCGCCCTCCTTCTCAGAAAAAGTAGCTTCTACTTGCTCGAAGCCCCCTTAGATCCATCCCAAAGACGGGAAACTTTTCTGCCATTTAATTTATTTTTTGTTTTCTAAGGTGAACTTTTTTGATATTTAAATTCGGGGTTTATTTTTTCACAGAACTTTTTTGCCACAGACGGAGCCTCTGTGGACGCAAATGTTAAGAAACCCAATCCTGGTAATTCCTGTAATTGTAATTAAAAATGTATACAGAAACTTTATCTGGGTTCTTTTCAATTCAAAGCAGGTCCAGCTGATAAAATTTCTGAGGGACATCAACTGTCCAAGAGGCCCAAATGGAAGGTGGGCCAAAACTGCCTCATGAAAAAGGAGAAGGGGACTTATCAGAATACAGGTAGTCCTTGACTTATGACCAAAACTGAGGCCCAAATCTCTGTTGCTAAGTGAGACATCCGTTAAATGAATTTTGCCCATTTCCTGGCTTTTCTTGCCACCGTTATTAAGTGAATCGCTAAATTTGTTAAGCGAATAACCCAGTTGTTAAGGAAATCTGGCTTCCCCATCGCTGGTCAGAAGGTTGCAAAATGAGACCACCTGATCCCGGGATTCTATGACCGTCATAAATGTGAGAAACATCTGAATTATGATCACGCAGTGGTCATAAGTGTGAGAAACAGTCATAAGTCAAATGACTATGGAGATTCTCAGTCCTCCAGGCCATGGTTGCTTCACTTCTCATCCGAGAAGCTTCTTCAGCTCTGAAGATGGTGGGGAATGGAAGGATTTATGGTCCTTGCAGACAGTTGGTCATTTGCACCCTTTTAGAGGGTCGTTGAGGCCACTTGGAAGTTTATCTGTGTCCTCAGGGTCACCTGAGTGGTGCAAATGGATGTATGGAGCCTTCTTGGATCTGTTGGAAGTGGCCTCAACAACTCTAAAAGGATGCAAATGACCCGCTCAAAAGTCCCTTCTTTCAGTGCTGTTGCAACTTTAAACAGCCACTAAATGAACTATTGTTAAATCGAAGACGACCTGTAGTTTATTTATCCAAAAGGATATAGTTGTTGTTGTTGGTCATGAGGGACTTACCAGATACAATATGCTTCTGATATCAAGGTAGATTTCAATGGGCGGAGTCTTCTTTCAGTTGCACCTGGCTTTCTCTCTCTCACCTGAGCTGCTTTTCCAGAACAAGATGTATCGATTGTTCTAAAATACGTGGGCCTAGGAGATTATGGGTTAGTCCAGCAAACAGCCTCCCAGGTTTAAATCTCTACCATCTTCTAAAGCAGCAGAATCTTCACTCCCTATGTTCTAATTAACACCTTTGTGGAGAGAAGGTGAGGTTGGACTGATCTTAACACCAGCCCGGCCCAGATGGTCAACCGCAGACACAGCCTGAAGATGGGTACTCTATTCCCACTCCATACCCCAAACTTTGAAGAAGCAAACCAACACTCCAGCCCGTCGGGTGGACTTGAAATATTTTACTATCCAGAAGTTAGGTAATATCAAAACCATATTCCTCCTCTCCCCCAGAAAAAGTGATTGTACAAAACACAAAACGGAGCTTTGTCCATGCAATGGTTTTGGACAGAGGCGTCAACGATGCCAAACAGAAGATCTACAGGCGGATGTCCCCCTTGGCAATCCATTTTTCGGAAGAATCTACCCTGTTCTTGGAATCTATAGGCTCAGGTGTGGAGATGGAAGCCAAGCCAACTTCTTCAGCTGGTAGGAACACCTCAAAAGGGTGATCAGAGATGGAAGGGAAAGCAACAAAGATGGCGTTGAAGAGTGACTTCTCACGTTTTGTACACACAGTGACTTCTTGTGGACATAGACAATTTGGCTAGCCTAATTCCCACACGACGAGTGATTAAAATAACAGCAAACTGCCCAGGTGTATTTTTAAACCCCCTCCCCCCCAAATTTAAGTGAGGAAAAGAAACAGAGGCAGGTGTACCAAGAAGTCCTTGTAGCAGGTCTGAATTTCTGAGGCGTGATGGACCTTCCATCTCCCAAAACATCCTAGCGGGAAAATCTGGGTCTTCGGCAGGAATTGAGAGATAAGAGGCAGCAGGCAGAAGTCTTCTAGCTTTCAGGTGATGAAGACCAAAGCCAATTAGTCCACAATCGGGGGTGAAAGTCATTTTTATCAAATTATGTCTCTCACCACTGTCCTACCAACACCACTGTCATCCCTGTTCCATCATGCAGCAGGTGGAGGCTGCCACCCGTCAACACCTTCCATGGACCAGAGATGGTCCCCTCCATCCTCCTCCCATCAGGCTGGGGAAGGAAGCCGCCGAGTAACACTTTTGTAACTGTACATATACATGTTCATGGGACATCAACACAGTTAAGAGTTAAGAGGAGGTCTTGGGGACACCACAATCGCATGTCGTTGCTCTACAAAAAAAAAAAGGAACAACTGCTGGTAGTGCCAACCGGTGGATAGGTAGGAAGAGACGTGTCACTGCTTCCCTGAAAAGCGGGTGTGGTGCCACCACGTGAATGTTAAACGGGGGGTGGGGTGGCTGAGCCAAGGGATGTTGGGTGCAGAGATTGGTGGGACTGGGAAGGGAGTTGGAGGACCGCATGGGGCCTTGAGCCCATGTATGTCGGAGAAGGTACCCCACCACCCCAAAAAAAAAATATCTAAAAAGGTTCAGATCGTGATCAAGGTGACTTGGGGTTGGGTTCAAAATGTCATCCGGTATGGAAGCAAGTGCTCACCTGGGCTTGTGACAGGTTCATGATTATGGGGAGGCAAGGCTGGCCAAGAAGAGACCAGGATTGATCTCGTCAACTGTCTACTTATTTGGAGGAAAAGTGGAAGAACGCCAAGGAGCTCAATGACCTTGGTAGGCGAAAAGGTGAAAGGGGTGTGTGTGTCTCCTGGCTCCTATTCAAAGCTTAGCCAGGACTTCCTCCTCATAGGGAGGAAGCTGTGCCAGCTGGTTGACCTTGCTTTACTTGGGGAAAGACTATATTGACCCAACACCCAGTAGTCTAGGACGTTGTGAGCTCATGGGCCTCACTCGAATGTTTCCCACTGCCTTCTTAACTGCTCGACTTTACCGGGCGTGACGGACACTTCCTGCTTGGTTTTATTTAACAAATCTTCAAAGGGGTCTTTAGCCAGCTGAGTCTTCGAAGGGCACAAGGCAGGTTCTCCAGCCTTGGTCTTGGGGGGAAGGAGCGGGAGGTTGCTGGGCCGCACCACCAGCCTCGTCTTGACCGCCGTGTGAGTAAGAGGCAATGTCCGGTTCTTAGAAGGGCCAGAGGGCTGCGTCGGTCGAAGGACGCCACTCTGGGAAGGAGGCTGAGCCGGCGGTGGAGCGGAGGGAGACTTGGCAAAGAGGTTGGGCATGGAGAGGGTCAGAGGGTTGAGGGGAGGCCTCTGGGGCTGGAAGAAGCTGGAGTTGGACGTGATGTAACTGGAACTGTACGCATGGCCTAACGAAGGACCAAAGGGGCCGCCCAGGGGCCTGACCAGGGTGAGTGGCGGAGGCATCGGCACGGTTTGTACGAAAGGGTTGAGAGACGGCGGCCCAAACGGCGTCACCGAGGGAGGGTATCCCAGCAGTTGACGGAACGGTGCTGATGTGGAGGGCATGAGGTCTTCCTCTGTGGATGGGAAGCTGCCGGCAGGGCTGGGAGATGAGGAACCCAGCTGGCTCCTGGAGCCGGATGGAAAGCGGGCATCCTGAGCTTCCCCTGACTTCAGCGGATCCAGGAGAGCAAGGAGAGAGTCGCTGTCTCCGCTCATGCCCTCTGCGTTGACCTTGACTGGTTGGAGCAGTTCTCCTCCTTCAGGGATGGCAGCGGATGAAAGCTGGACTTGGGGAGGAGCAAAACTAGCCACCTGCCGGTCCAGAGGGACATTTCTGGCTGCAAAGGTTTCCTGCAGGAGCTCTGAGGCCAGGTGGCCAGGCTCTGCGAGGCAGGGGGTAGCTTCTGGGGGCGCCTGCTGCTTGGAAAGCCGGGGTGGAGGCGGTGGTGGGACGATGCCCAGCTCGGGCGTCTTCCTCCCCTGGGGTCGCGGGATGGTGATGTTCCCTTGGGCAGCGGGAGAACTTCCAACGTCCTTCTCGGGAAGGTCCAGAATGACATCTCTGCTGGGAGGCTTCCTTGGAACAGGGGGCACGTTTCTCAGGGGTCTCTCGGGAGATTTGGGGGAGTATTTGGTGGAAAGGGCCATGTCGTCGTGGCCTAAGCCCCAGAACTGCTTATAGGGGTGAGAAAGCTTCATCCCTGGGGTGGTCCAGCTCTTTTCAACAAAACCAAGGTCCATCCGCTGTCAGAGAAGAGAGAAAATCATGAGGTGCCTTCCTTCAAACCCTCGGCTCTTCCTCTCCTTTTAAGCGGACACCCCAGATCTGAGACTACCTCCCACTAGGACAGGGGTGTCAAACTGGATTTCTTTGAGGGCCGGATGAACATTGTAGTTCTCCGTGGGCTGGCAGGGAGAGGCGGGAGATGAGACGGACGGCTCCTGCCACACTCTGCTAGCTGAGAACGGGCCGTGCAGGGAGCCCTGCAAGGCCCGTTTTCAGCTGGCAGTATTGCTGGAGACTGAGGAGGCTGGAAACGGGCCTCGCGGGGCCTCCACACGGCCCGTTTTTGGTACAGGGCAAAACTGGGCCACGGGGTGGGGTGGGGTGTCACATGCAACTTCCCTGCAGCCTGTTTTGACTGGCAGAGGCCCTTCGGTATTTCCAGGCCAGCACTGTGGGCCAGATTTAAGCACCCTGTGGGCTGGAGGAGGCTCGCGGGTCTTGAGTTCACACCCCTGCAGTAGGAGGAACCACCTTTCCCTTTGTGCCAACTGAGGGAAGGTGACTTTCCTCCCATTTCCTCAAAATCCACTTGGGGAAAGTGTTCCTGGAATCACCCTTAGGTTCTCCTTCTTCGGCCGGTCTCCTGCCCTGTCAAGAGTTCAAGATTCCCCCTTGTAAATTCTTCACCACTTCCAACCCCACCGCCGTAACTTATCTTGTCCATCTGGCTTCTCATCAGCAAATAACCAAATGTACCCATCTCTAAAGCCACCCCTACAGATAATTCTCAACTTACAGCTAGTGACAATGACCACTGAACATTAAGAAGGGCGCAGAACTAGTGGTTTATGGTAAACCTTTACATGGGTGCCTTGTCTTATGGTCCCCACAGCTTACAACCAGGAATCCTGTTCCAATTATGGTTGGAAGTCAAAGACTACCTGAACCAGCAACTCAGATGTTTTCAGACTTTCTCACCCACCCAAGTCCCATACCTGATAATCAAAGGAGCATTGTTGGTCTTCTTCCTCTTTGGAAATCCTCAGATCTTCCAAGCTCCTGGCTTGGCTGAGAGGCTGTGGTTGCGACGTCACCTCCAGTCCTGTGAAAATGTCTTCCAGAAGACTAATATCTGCAGGGCTTTCTGGAGTGGTTGGGTCAACCTGGTGGTCATCCTGGAATCTCTCAGGACTGATGCCTTCTTCTCCATCACCACTGTCGGATTCCTTCAGAGCGCGATATGGCTGAGGCCTGTCAGAAGGAACCACAATTGGCCGTTCAGGGATGGGATCCCTCTGGAGAAATCTACCAACCTCCCAATGGTCAGAGAAAGCCAGAAGGAGCTGATGGGTGTGTGATGAGTGACAACTCCACATTATCTCCCAGCTGGGAGCGGAGGCTCTTAAGGACAGCCTGAAGCCTACAGAGATGTGGCTACAATATGTTCCTTTTGGCAAAGGCCACACACAAATTAAGACTGAGGCAGGGGCTCTGTGGCTTACACCACAAAACTACACTAGTGTTTTGCTGGGGTTCTAAGTGCTTTCAACACAAAATAAGACACAGCCCAGCTCCGGATAGATGACACCAAGCATGCATTTCTCACAGCAATACCAATAAAACAAGGAGACAGCGAAGCCAAGGCCAAGAGAGAGAAACATCTTAGAAAGCATGAGACACCAGGACTCTGAAGACCCAGGAGGCCCAAAGGATTCCTCTCTCCAATGTGCATAAAGTTAAGGATGTGACTAAAATGAAACATGGGTTTTCCTGGATCCAAGATGACAACCTACTGAGCAAGAAAGTCATGCAGGTCCTCTGAAGGACCACGAGGAAACATCTTCCTTTGGCCCAGATGACTCTGCACGCTGTCAGGGTTCCAACGGATGCCCTAGTTAATTCATGAGCCTCGAGCCACGTTTCAAAAGAAATCCAATTACTTATTAGGTTTATTTTATTATTGATGATTTCCCCAAGGGCAGTCTCTGCCCTACGTAATTTACTGCCCACCTAGGACCCCGTTTTCCCCCTCTTCCCAGGGTGTGTCATAAATCACATTCTCCAACAGAGCACTTTCCTGGGCTGTAGAAAACACACCTCTCCGGCTGGGTCTGGTAACCTAGGACACAATCTTGAGAAAGGTATGCCAGGAATGTGCTTCTGGTCATAGCAAACAAACTGCTCCATCAGATCTCACCCCCGCACTTTCTTACGGCAACTCAAGAGCGAGCCAGGAATGCTTTACGAGTTGACAGACACTGACTATTTATGGTGAATCTTGGATTCTTGAATCCTTAAGAAATCCACAACACTTAAAGCAATGCCTCCGACACGAAGGAACGCCGTGGTCTGTTAGGAAGAAGACAGGACTGAGCAGGGGGCAAGGAGGGCTTCAAACACAGTAGTGTTAGGAGATGGCGGTGCAAAGCAAACCCAATTAACGCCCCCCAATTCACACAATCTCCAGGGTGGTTTTGGACTGGCCTTCAAAACAAGACTAGAGATGGAAGAAAACACCAAAAAGACATTAGAAAAGAGCTGAGCAGGAGCTTTGTCCATCTCTGGTTGCCTCAACTCGTGGATGGTTTCATTAGCAGAGGACTGCTCCATGCTCTCAGTTTGAGGAGGCAACGTGGTTGGGATAATAATGAGTTTTTCAGCAGACAAAGCCTTCAGTCACACAATGGCTTGGATTCCCACATGCATTAGGCAGGGTGTCCTACCAGAACCAGGTGGGCATTGATACTCAAGAGTTTCAAATTCTCAGCTGTTATTTTTTTTCCCCTGGAGATGCTTCTAACCACCTTGGAGCAAGCCCCAATCCTTACTTCAACCCGACTGCCCTTCGACCAACCCTCTCAAAGAGGGGTGGACTTCCTCCCATGCAGAGACGACAAGACTTGCTTTCTTCTCCCTTGGTCCTCCCCAGGCCTCTCCACCCCGTCATCCAGCTCCATGTGCCGGTGGCTTTCTGCTTGCAGCTGGCGATTCACCCTAAGGGTGCCAGGGATGGACAAGACAGATGGACTGAGGCAGGAAAACCCAATGCCAAGCCAAGCCAGCAAATCTTGGCAGTTCTTGGCCGGAACCAGAATGTGTTTGCTTATAATATGTTGCCTAAATCATGTTAATAAATCTCTCCCCAGAATCCGCGTCTTTTAATTGTGTTAACATAAATTGCCAGTTCACATTATCAAATGCTTTCTGTGCATCTAGGAAGACATTTGCTTCTCTGGTTTTGCTTCGTAATATTCCATTGCATTTAAAAATTATTCTCATATTATCTTTAATTTGTCTCTTAGGTAGAAAACCGTTTTGATCTAAACGGATAAATTGGTTTGGAAATCTTTTTTAATCTTTCTGCAATTATCGAAGCAAATATTTTATAGTCAGCATTCCTTAGCGAAATTGGTCTGTAATTTTTTTTAATCAGTTGCAAATCTGTGTCTTCGCTTGGTATAAGAGTAACACCCTGTTTTCCTGAAAATACGACCTACCCTGAAAGTAAGTCCTAGCGTGATTTTTACATGTACATCCAATGTAAACCCCATCCCCCAAAATAAGCCCTAATTAAGATCCCAGATTGCATGGATAAAAATTAAGCTAGGATGAGGATGGTGGTGGGGGGTGTAGCTGCCCTACTACTTACCTTTGGACAGTTGTAGCCGGGCCTCGCACACCCCGACACCTGCCTTACCGGCCCATTTCTTCTGCAGCCGGCTGGCAAGGCTTTCCTGAAGGCCTCTGGAGCTGATGACAAAGCTCTGGATCGATCCTGAGCTCTCTTATCGGCTGCAGAGGCCTTCAGGAAAGCCTCGCCGGCCGCCGAAGAAGCTCCTGAAAGACTCTAATAGCAAAAAGGAGGCTGGGGGTGACTCACGCAAGTGAGGTTAGTCAGTGGATAAAATCCCCCCCAAATTAAGACCTGGTGCCTTTTTTGAGTGGCAAAAAAATATATATAAGACAGGGTCTTATTTTTGAGGAAACACAGTATATATGCCTCCATCCATGAGTTTGGTACTTTAGCTTCTGATAATAGATCATTAAATACATCTAACGTTGGAGTACTTAGGAGTATTTTGTAGGTCTTTGTATAGTTCTGCTGGTATTGGCTTGTCGCCGGGGGTATGCAGGGGTGGGCCGCTGGGGGCTCGAGGGGGGTTGGGAGACCCTCTAGCTAAGATTCTGTGCAGTTTGGAGAACTCTCAAATCCCACTCCTGGATGGCCCCGCCCACCCCTCCCCGAAGTCCCCACGTGGCCCGTTTTGGATGCAGGTAAGTGCAAGACATGGATGGAGGCTCAGGGAGGGCGAAAACGGGCCTCCAGGATGTTCGGGAAGGCTGGAAATGGGCTGGTTTCTGGCTTCCAGAGAGCCTCAGGAGCCTGGGGAGGCTGTTTTTGCCCACCTGGAAGCTTGAGGAAAGCCTCCGGAGTCTGGGGAAGGTGAAAATGCCACACACACACACACACACACACACCTGCCATGGTACAGGAGGCTGACAAGGCCACACCCACCCTAGCCATGCCCATCCAGCAACCGGGCAGAGAACCGCTTGGTAAAATTTTTGAAGCCCATCCCTGGCAGGTATATATATCAAGCGGGGAACATGCGCGCACAAAGACAGGGCGCCCGCCACAGAAGCCGCTAAGCAATGGAAAGGCTGATGGGTCAGCAAAGGGCTCCGAGCCAGGCGAGGAGGCAGAGCTAGCGAGAGCGATAGTCAAGGTAGACACCATTCAAAAGGAGCAGAGAAGAGAAAGCTGTCAGAGAAGGCAGAGGCCGGCCCGTCCTCCTGAGGAAGGTCATCGCCCGAGGAATCCTCCAACAGGAAGACCGTATAGTGGCGGGTGGGCTTGGCCAGGCTGAAGGAGACAGGGAAGAGGAGAGAGAAAAAAAGATTATAGATCGCCGGACCAAACCTGTGGAGGGAAAGGAAGCCAAACCAAGAACGGACGCCAACATTCGAGGAGGAAGGGATTCCCTCGGCCTCTTGGGGACCTCTGAAGAAGGATGGAGCCCACTCTGGAGATCCTTCGGTGGCCCTGGGCTTCGACCTGAAGGATCTCTCGTCCGATTTGAGCGGATTTAACCCAGTCGGAAGGGACCTTGTAGGTCATCTAGTCCAACCCCTCCGCCCAAGCAGAAGGCCCTACCCCATTTCTGACAAAATGGCAGTCCAGTTTCTTCTTGGTCTCCCAATGACAGTGAGAAAACAACCAATCGATGGAACCGAAGTTGCCTTCGGAAGTTGTGGGAGCTTCATCCTTGGAGGCTTTCAAGAAGAGACGGGAAGGCCGCCGGTCAGAAATTGGTGTAGAGCAGCGATGGCTAACCTTGTTGGCACCGAGACGTCTCCAAAATGCAATATGTGCACGTCCGTGTATGCGCCCCGTCCCCATGCATGCAACCTGCCCCCCCGGACATGCATGCGCATCCCCATGCATGCGCATATCCCCCTGTGGATGCTCCCCCACCCCCCATGCTCCATGCCCCCCGCACGCACGGCAGAGTCCCAAAGTCCAGCTGGCTGGCGGGAGGGGCGCCTGCGCAACCAGAGCAGAGCTGGGCCCATGGCTCGCATGCCCACAGAAAGGGCTCTGCGTGCCACCTCTGACACACCTGCCATAGGTCCGCCGTCACGGGTGTAGGGTCTCCTGCTTGGGTGGCTGGCGGCGGGGGGGTTGGGCTGGATGACCTCTAAGGTCCCTTCCAGCAGCTGAAAGCATCAGGAGGGCTCTTCCTGCTGAACGGCGATGGCCCTGCAACTTGGGCCTTGGCCTTTGGGGCGAAACCCCAAAACTTCGCCGAAGAGGCGTGCTGGAAAAATGTCCAGGCCTAATTTTTCTCTCTCTCTCTCTCTCCCTCCCCACTTCCCCACTTTTGGCTCCAGTCCGCCAAGTCTCTTCCCTCATTAACCCAAATCGGGTCTTCCTCTCCCACCGCAGCTGCCGCCCACCCGCCACCAGCTCACGTTTGTGGCACACACAAAGAGCTGTCTTCGTGGTGGTGGGGGGGAAAAGGTGGCTGGGCCTGGTGCTGAACGGCCACCCGTTCATCCAACGCCAGGCCCGGTACGGTTGCAGGGCTGCAGCGGACCTCGTCTTCTCCACACACACGCCCCCCCCGCTTCCCCGGAGCTCCCGTGCAGATGGCTTGCTGATCTCCTTCTAATGTTTAGTTTAACGCGTCTCCGGTTAATGCCTGACAGCCATGACAGCCCGTAGCTGTTCCTTTTTAAATATCATGTCAGAAACACAGCACCATAAAGTCGAGGATGTGTGTTCCGCGGTGGCTCTGTCTCCCTGTTCGTGGAATCAGGCGCTTCGTTTTTAATGAGGACAATCTGCATTTTGGGGGGCTTCTAACCCCCCCTCCTCCTCCTCCCCACCTCGTTCCCTCCCCCCATATGTCAGGATGCCTGGACAAATCCACAGCCATCTCTGTGGCTGGCCAAAAACCAAGAGCTGACAAATGTAGATATTTCAAATTTAATTGACACCTAAATGTACTTAAGACAGATAAACGAGAGGGAGGAGTAGAGGGAAAGAGAAGGGGAGAGAAAGGGGGGGGGGGAAACAGCAAGGAACTAGCGGGTGAACAGTTGGGGTAGGCAGTCAACGGCAAGAGTTTTTGTCAGGAAAAAGAGTGTTTTTTTCTGCAAAACAGGACTGTTTTTGAGGGAGAATTTGGCGGACACCGAGTAGTAGCCTTTGGTGACTCTCAACTTTAGATTCGCTGATCAAAATATGGCCCCTTTCCTCGGACAACGGGGATGGGCTTTGAAGCAAAAGCCCTGCCCGCTCCCTTAAGACCTAGTGTCATGCCCCTGTGGGGGTCTGAATCTGAGGAGGAAGTGGAAGAGCTGACAGGTAGCGGGACAGTGACTCCGTTGG